CACCCACAGCATAGCGCCATCACTGGGATGGGGCTCACACTCTGGGACACTGTGACAGGGGCTGCAGGCCTCATCAGGGCTCTGCCCCACCCCCTGCCCCTGGGGGGGGGGGGCCCACAGAGTCTGCTCACCCCAACCGCTGCCACCCACTCCCTGCAGGGGAGCGAGCCGCATTGGGATAGGCCTCCTCCTGCCCCCTCCACCGGATGCTGGAGGGAGGGGAAAATAACCCTCTTCCCTGCCCCACCACCTAAAGGGCCCTACTGGCTGGCATGTGGTCCCACCCCCACCCCTGGAGTGGGGAGCGGGGAGCAACCCTGATGGGGGCTGCAGCCCCTGTCACAGTTTCCCAGAGTGCAAGACCCTTCCAATGGGGGGGTGGGGGGGGGCATGCTGCAGGGCAGTCAGAGCTGCTGCAGACTATGTGAGGCAAGCAGCGGCACTGGGGGGGATTAAGAGGGCTATGGCCCCCTCCAAGCCCTGGTGCTGCTGCCTGCCCCATGCAATCCACAGCTTGTGCCCCTCGTGCACCCCCCACCCCCAGGAAGAGGTTCGTGGTTCCTGGACACCAGGACAGGAGCTGCTGCCCCCTCAGGGCCCTGCTCCCTTGCCACTCCAGTGGCAGGGGTGGGATGGCTGGCTGGCAGGGCCCTTTAGGTGAGGGTGCCAGCATCTGCTCTAGGGGGTAGGAGGGACTGATCCTGCCGCTTGCCCCATGCAGGCTGCAGTCCCTCAGGGGCAGTGGGGGGAGAGGGCAGAATATCTCCGTTCCCTGCCCTCCCACCTCCCTGCCCCGGCCCGCCACTGCAGCAAGGAGCAGGGAGCACCCAGCAGATCCCAGCTCAGGTTCGTGCCAATGGGACAGGAATCAGGGAATTTAACCCCTAGCCTGGCCAGTTCACTCCAAGCTACTGCCAGGGCTGGCCACGCACCCCCAGCCCAGCTTCCCTGCAGCCGAGGGCTGCTCTAGCACCCTGCCAGCGCCTGGCCTGAGCCACTGCAGGCATGTTGTGCATGTTGCTGAAAAGGTTAACTGCTGGTTTAATGTAATAAAAGATTGGGTACATTTGCCTGCATTTCATGACTGTCTGTTCATTTACAATTGGTTCAATCCAGGCAGGTTAGACTAACCTGCAAAGATTGAACCAATTCAAGATCCGGCTTTTTGAATGTCTGTCCCTAGCCTTTGAAACAAGAACTGCAGGTCATCCCTACCACAGATTTCACCTTTATCCTGGCAAGTAGTGACTCTGTGAAAGATTTAGGGGCAACTGACCAGCTACTCGATACAAGACTCTACTGCTCTGCTATGAAAAATGATCTAATGAACCCTTAGCTGTGTAAAGAGGTGTAGCACAGAGAAGCAAGGAAGCAATTTTACCAGCATGTATAGCATCAATTAAATGAATATTCTGTATGGTCGAGGTGTCCACGTTTTATAAGGATACTGAAAGACTGGCTATAATACAGGAAAAGCCACAAAATGGTTTGAATGCAGGAGAAAATGCCATACAGTGAGGAATTCAGAGCTCAAATGCATGGAAGATTGAGAAGTGACAATTACTGTGGGTAGCTAAAATTGTCTGCACATTAACACCTAAAACTAGTTTTAAGTACTTGTTACGTGGCTCAAACTCCATCCCAGGCTTAATGTAGACACCCCACCCACCCCTGCCCCTTCCAGCTGAAACGGATCAGGCCCACTGGCCCCCTCCACCTTTCCCAGTACCCAAGAGCCCCACTCACTGCTCCCCTCCCCCCCACAACTTACTTGTGGGTACCTGTGCTGTCTGTCCTGGGGAGTAGGCAGGGAAGGGTTAACCTGCCTTCCCAGCCACCAGTGCAGCCTCAGCCCACAGAAAAGCAGCAGGGGGGTTGGAGCAAGCCAGGCAGGCAGGTGAACCTTTCCATGCCTGCTCCCCTGGGACAGACAGCACGGGCAGCCACAAGTAAGTAGATGGGGCGGGGGGGGCTGGTGGGAGAACGGGGGGATGTCCTGGGGGACACAGTGGAAGTCTGAAATGGGGTGGTGCAGATTTTCTATCTTTCCATCCTCTGGGCCCCTTCTGGCCTGAACTGTGACTGCTCCAAACCTGAGCTAGCACTAACACCTATCAACATTTGTACGGCTCAGCGTGAGGTGTAGCAAGGCTCTAACTAAAAGCCTCTTCCAGCTAACAGAAAAAGGCATCACAAGAGCCAATGGGAGGAGGCTAAAACCACATCCTGACATATTAGAAATTCTGCACTAGTTGGCAGGAGGGAGAGTGATTAACCACTGGATCAACCCAGCAACGGAAGGGGCAGAAACTTGCTCTCTTCAGCTCTTCACACGAAAACTAGAAGCTCTTTTTTGAAGTGCCACCTAGGTCACATGCAGATTTGGGGCTTCATTCCAGGGGTAACTAGATGGCAATTAGTCACAGGTGACCTGAGAATCCTTTCTGTCCATATATGATGCAGTATATAGAGTATGTTTAAGACAAGGAGCTTTCTCTAGAAATCCCTGGAAGATATTGTTTTCCCCCACCCTACTAGGAAAAAACTCTCATAGATCTTAACCAGGAATATTATTGGCTTCAATCTGTAGAAATAACTCTAAAAAAACCCCAAACCTTTAGGACTGTACATAGACCCATTCTGTAGTACTTTAAACTATCCAATAGAATAACCTAGCAGAGGCATAATTTTCTATTAAGAAATCTCTAAAAGACATTAAAATCTTAAAGAGAGAGCTCCCACTTCCCTTTGCTCACATGTATGTCTCCAAGGAATCCTAGCGGTACTTTGGAAATTTCCTTTACCTCCTGTACCAACAGCCAGTGCACTTTGCCCTGAGCACACATTGCCCTCAATTATTGACTCTCCGCTCTCCTTCCCAGGTGTTTCGTGCTCCGTCAGCCTCACTGAAGGTGGGATAATATTCAGTCACTATTTGGCACCAACAGAAAGGATGGTTTCTGCAGCACTGCTAGGAAAGGCTGCTTACACAGGGGATGCATTCCTCGGTAGCCTAGTTTGCCTGCCTTTAAGTAGAAAGCAAGCCACTCGCTATGAGTTTATTCTGCTTCCCACAAGCTCAGAGTATGAGCGGAAGGAATTAAAATATACTGCCAGCCCCAGACCCAAATGTACCATTATTTGCCTGGTGACACCATTTTAGAGCAAGCTCCAGGCACCCACTCCGCCCCTATCCCCTCCCCGTACACACAGAGTTGGATCTATGCCTCAGCAGGTAGACTGGAAATGTATGGGGGGAAAAATTAAGTGATTTCTTTTGGCTGCTGCTGCTGGGATGAAAAGAAAGACTTGGGTGACTGTTTCCCATTCAAAAAGTCTAGCTTGCAGGAAGGATGGGATCAATCCTTAGCGGAGCTGAAGCAAAGGCAGCTTCCTGAAATGCATAACCGTTCCCGAATGTCTCTCTCTCGCTTACTCCTGCCCCTATCAGGACAGAGTGTTCTCCAGTTGCACTATGCATAGCCTGGCTGGGGAACCTGCTACTAGCTCAGATTTCTCAGGGCCTGATCATGCGCACACCACTGCCACTGAGGACAGCAAGAGCTAGGGCTGTGCCAGGAATGCAGGATCAGGCCGCTCATCTGCAGGCACCTACGCTGCAGCCAACAGCATGCATGCGATAACCTGTACTAAACCTGTGGCTTTTGTACTGCACGTGAGCCAAGCTGTATGCGTGCAGTGCATGTAATGCACATTGGCTACATGATTAATATAGTCCTTTCTGAAATCATAAACAAGTTTTTGCACCATAAAACCTTACAGTTCATCTCCAGCACCACTGTGGTATTACAAATGCGGCCCTCATCTCCAGCAACTCAAACGTGACCCTAGCACCCCCTAGTGACGAGGAAAAGTTGGGAAGGAAACTCAAAGGGAATGTTTAGTACCAAGTCAGCCTCGTTTCTTCATTGTTTGAAGGATTCTAATTATCCTCTGTTTTAACAGCTTAACACTGCCCACAGAGTTTCGCAAATAAAGGCTATTACTGCTGCTTCATGCTCCAGCTCACTGATGCCTGGGCCTTGCAAAAAATCACTCCCTTAAGATTTCCCTTCACCTCAAGCAGAAACTTTGTCAAACACTGTTCCTTTCGCCTGGCAGATCAAAATGGAACTTGCTGCCAAGAATTGTTTTCTGGTCAGTTGAGTGTAGTAGACCCAGCACCAACACCTCCCAGTGTTTTTTGAACTCCCCCGGTGTTTCTCTTTAACATTTAATACCAGCAGCCCTGTAGAGAAGAAGGTGATAGAAAATCTGAATGGCCAACGCCAACTGCAGATCCAGAGTTACATTTTTAATTTTAAATGCTCACATGAAAAATGATGCTGGATCAGCCCTAAAGCCTGATGTCTTCTATTCATGGCCAGGGTACAGTACGGGCAGCTTCCCTAGCCAGCCCCGCTAACGTGCTTCTGGCTTGAAATGGCAGAATCATTTGTTCCTTCCCCAGACAGTCGGCTCTTAGGTTTCTCCCGGAAGCTGTGGGCTTGAAAGCACCAGGCTGCTTGTTGTCACTGAGCAACAGAGTTCAGCCTCCAAGTGAGAAAAGGCATTTACACAGGAACTGGACAGTAGATGAACTTAGCTTTGGTTTAACTCAGATAATACCTTTTAACCCCACATTTCCTAGCCTGAGCTTTAGTTGAACTGGTAACTTGTAGTGTCAGGTCTCTTGAATCCCAGTCATCAGCCCCATGAGGCACTTAGCAGCTGTGGCAGGTTTCATTTCCCGCTGCACTATGGATGATGCTGGTTCCCCAACAACGGTCAGGTTCTGAATGGGCCTATTTGATGCCAGCCTACCAAGGCAGTAGCACTTAGTAAAAAATAGTGGTGCTGCCACTGCTCCTACAATGGCTAAAGGGCAGCCACTGGCCAAAGGAGTCATCCCTTTTTAGCCAGTTTCAGTAAACTTCACTAGGTACAGAGGAGCTCCTTTGGATGTAGTGTAACAGCCCAGCTATCTGCTATTCTTCCAGTTAGAACTAATTCTGCGGCCAGGAGCTCCAACTAGCCCTGATAGATGAGATGTCAAGATGAGCCTTAAAGGTAAGTCCATCACCACTTTGGGCAGATTGTTTAGTCAGCTGGAAACATCTCTCGGTAGACACAGGAGAGGTGACCCAGTGTCAGTTTAGATGCCACAAATATTTGGGTGCCCTCTGCTGAAAGGCTGCTTTGTAAATTCACTCCTCTGTGAATCAGGGCAGATATCCCAATAAATCTTGATTCTTGCTAGGAAAGCAGAAGCCCAGCAGCAGCACAGACTGTTTTTCTTTTTAGCAGCAGAAGCACATCAGTGACATTCAGTACTCTGCTGGGTCAGGCCTTTACCCTCTGCTAATACCACCGAGTCCTTCAGCTAAAGGGCAGGCACTGACAGTGTTCCTCCTCCTCCCAGTACAACAGCAACAAGACTTTGAAGGAGTTGCACTAGTTAGTTGCCATTACACTTCTTGGGTGGCTGGAGGATCTCCCTGCCTTTGACCTCATGCTTTGCAATGCATCTAATAGCTTATTACAACTATTGCATTGCAGCAATACTTCATTTTATAGCTACTTTGAAAGAGCTCTTCCTCCAATGTTGAAAAAATAATCTAAAGACTAATGCCTAGTCTCTCCAGAAGACTGCTGTTAAACTGTCTATAACCAAGTGCCCAAACACTGCACAAAGCTGTTTCATTTGCTTAACATCGACTCACTGGCAATTAATATGCCTGACATAACAGTGCACTACAAGGCCCATAAAATCTGTAGCAGTAGGGGAGTGAAATGATTATAACATTTTTTTCTGTCTTTTCAATAATACCAGTCTGCAGTTTGGGCACTGTAATCTTTTCAAAGCAAAAAGGAAGCTGAGCTGCATCTGAACAGCTGTTGTCTACTAAAGCAATAATTAGCAATGAGCTAGAGTCAAAATACCTGCTACCAACAGTAACTGTCAACAGCCCCAATTACCAGGAGCTTCCCTGTACCCAAGAATAGAGAGGCTGAGGCCTGAGGATGGAGATTAGCACGCTGTATTTTTAAAAGCTTATTCTTATTTAAGCTGAGCTTTAATATACCTCCCATTCTTTACACAGAAGCATCTGCATCCCTTTCTCCATACTCAGGCATGTAAGTATAATCATTGAATTATCTGTGAATGAGGGGCATAGAACTGAGCTTGTACAAAACTAGTACATTTTTCATGGGAGGAACTCTTGTGTGGAGGGAAGCGGGGTAAGTTGTGTGTACAGAAGCTGATACAGAGGACCCTGCCCTGCAGTTTCATTAATCAATAATAATTATTGCTGGGAGGATCCCTGTTTCTCTTATCCCACTGAAGTTTTATTCCACAGAAGTGTTTATGATTTCTACATCAAGACAAAACCAAGAACTTTCAAAGCTTGACATAGAAAACCAGCCACACACCTCACTCAGTAGTTTGGTGAGATGAGACAGTGGCTCACATTCTGGGTCCTAGTATCACACGTTACACAAGTGCTCCAGCCATTAGCCAGTTCTTTCTTCTCCTTTTCTCCTGTTGGAGCTGTTCCACTTTATACATATTATTAAATATGCATTAGAGCAGGGACTGAACACTCGTTTCCTGTATCCAAGTTGAGTGTCACAGCCACTCAGCTCCAAGAGGAGAACCCCAACTCAACATAGCTAGTACTAGTTAGTGTGCTTACTGAGGATGCAAATACCCATACTTCAGCGTACTGATCTTAAATCAGGCAAAGCAAGGATTTGAACCCGAGTCTCTCACATTTAGATCAGTATCCTAATCAATTGGCTAACTGATTGTTCTCCCCCCCCGCCACTGAGTGGGTCAAACACAACCCTTCCCTTCAGAAATTCCAGCTAAGATTTGAGAATCCTTTCCTGGTAAGGGCATTTCTATTAAAAGCTGCTGAATCAACATTTTCCAAACAAAATGCATTCTTCAGAAAATTCCCAGCTGGCTTGGACTAATAAACCAGTGATCAGCAGGTCTGTAGCATCTAATATCTCCCTGTTACAGATTTCCTCCTGAATATTCATGTTTTAGTATTTGAGAGTGATCCATAAATATAAGCATATAGGAATATTGCCTAATCCATTATTAGAATGGAGTTTTGTTCTCCTGAGATGTAAAACAGAAGTGCGTTGACATTTCTTTTTTTATTTTTATAATTAGAATTACATTTCTCAGAGCACACCTGAAAATCTAGCACTAAAAAAATGCACCTAGAATCACTAAACTAGCAATTGAGAACCTGGATAAAACTGATCAGTCCAGTTTCACTGGCTGAGCTCAGCAAAGTGGCAGAGCTGTATAAATGGCAAGCAGGGAGTGTGATGTGTAAGTTTTACAGTTTCAAATCAGCTGAGGCTAGGAAGCCAGTGTCCTTTCAGTGACCTTTAGCAAGCAGAAAGCTGCAATTGTGGCAGTTCAGTCATTTATTAATAAACACACTGATGGTTACATCAATGTAAATAAAACCAAAACACAGCAGGCCAGACCTTTCAGGTCTATTAAGACACCCCCCCCTGCAGTGTTGCAAGGCATGAGGCCAAATGACTTCAACCACCCAAGAAATACAATAATGCCCTAGAAGCATATGGCACACAGTGTTGTTAAATGGAAACTAAGAATAAGTGCAACTTTCATTTCTTGCCATCTTATAATAAACTCAAGCCCCAGGGACAGAGCACCACTTGTGTTCTGGAGTTTTAGGCCCTTTCGCAGTCAGAATAAACACAATGTATTTCAGCAAAATGCCAGAGTTGTGACAAAGACTGACAAACAAAGGAAAGCACCAAGCTGACCATTAACACTTCACACACACTTGTGAGCCTAGACCTCCCAGTCTACATGCCACATCCAGTCACACCTAGCAACAAGGCCACTGGGACACCAATTTGAGCTACACTAGCTCAAATAAGGGCTTCTGTACATACAAAAGATACATGGTGTCATACAACTACACCAGTATACTTTAAGCCAGGGGTGTCAAAATATGCAGCCTGGAGGCTGGATCTGGCCCATGGGAGTTCCTAGGTTAAGTACAGACAGTCAAAAAGCCTAAGCCTGAATTGATTCAGTCTTTACAGGTTAGTCTAAACTGCAGAGATTAAACTGAAAAACAACTGGACAGACATTCATTTTTGATTCAGGAAATGCAGCCACATGCCTGCAGTGGCTCAGACCAGAAGCTGGGGGATGCTAGAGCATGGCTAGCCAGCATGGGCTATGGGTATGCTTCTTCTTCCTGCTGCCCTTGAGATCTCTGAGATTTACAGTCCAGACTCATAGCAGTAGAACTCTGCAGGGATGCTCATCACTGTGTCTTCCTGCTTCCAGGTACCTCTGGGATTTGTAGTCCACAGTCCCAGCCAGCAGGAAGTTTTTAGCAGGGCAGGGCAGCTCTGTACTTTGGCGGGGGGGAATTTAACTCCCTCCCTGGCTCCAGACCCTAGTTGGGGTTTGTCGAGGGGATTGTGATGTAACTTGAACCAGGAAGGGGGCTGGGACAGAAGCTTCATAAACTGGTTTCACCCAAATCAGTTAAGTCTGATACTACATTCAACCAGGTTTATCTTAAACCAGTTTCAGCTATTTTGAAACTGGTTTGTGTGTTCTGTTACAGGTTTAAACCAGTTTCTGATCACTTTACCGGTTTGTGTGTAACTTTTGTCCCTAGCACTAGAGGGACTGGGAATTCAGGGTGGGGTGAGCAGGGATGGGGGCTGCCACTGAAATCCTCAGTATGGAGTCCCATTGGTGATGCATGTCATCATCAACATTAACCCCACTGCTACTGCCATGTCCAGGTCTAGTCTGCAAGTAGCCGTGCAGTCTGGATTCAGTTGGGAAAGGGGAGGAGGAGGAGGAAACAGGCAAGTCTAACACCATTGGTTTAAGCAATGCAACCCCTCTAGTATAGCATCCGTTCCTCTTGTACCAGTTCAGCTATTCCCACTGAAGTAATAAACACACCTTTAAACCAGCATATCTGCAGCTACTTACCTAAGGGATTGTAGTGGTATAGCTTCTAACCTAAAGCAAAACAAAGCAATAATCACACCCAAGTCAAATAGTTGTAGTGGGAGAAAAAAACTATGTAGAGAAATTCCTGCTTTTTTTTCCTCCTAGGTGTTGTGTCCTTAATTACTGTGTTTTTGTTAAAATCAAAGACGTTCCGATCTCTCGCTAATCCAGTCACTGCAGACACATAATGCTTATTAGCACCTTAGAGTTTTGAAAGCAGCCATCTAGGAACTGGGTATGTCGTCCTCTCTCTGTTCTCACTCTTCAAACTCTTCCCCTGTTCCTAGCATCTCTTTTGATTCAGGCTGCAATGTCCCTAGCAGATCAGTCTTGAGCCAGCACTGAGCAAAAAGTCTGCTGATTGAAATCATGGTAGGGCTGTTGTGTTGGCTTACTGCTCACAGCTCTCCTTTCACCACAAAGCAGAAGCTACAGGTTTGTAAGGGAAGCCCGGCCAACCTTCTACAGGCACAGCTGCTCTAACATACAGCATCACAGGGGAAAAAATAGAAGTTTGCAGTAATACGTAGCTCTTTGATAGCACTTTATAACTCAAAAGTTCAGAACACTTTACAAAGACAGGTATCATTATTCCAATTTTAGTTAGGGAAACTGAGGCACAGAGTGGTAAAGTGATTTGTAGCTGATAGCAGGCCAGAATCAGAGGGTGGTGTCATATGTTCAACTTAACACTTCTTAAGTGAAGTTAAAGCACAAGCAGATGCATGTTCAAGCAGTTTAGCACATGTGAAATACATTTGTGGCCTTGCAAAGTTGTTCTCTTTCAGGCGAGGTTTATCTTAATATATGGTAACTTCAGTAGGTCACTAAATTCCAAAGATCTGCAACTGTTGCAAGGGAATGTATGACACCAGTCAGAGCCAAAGGAGGACTGGCTCTAATCCTTGGACAATGCTGCCATAATAGAATACTCCCTTCATAATTATCCCTACAGCAAGGCATAGACATTATTGTCCGAATTCTGATCTCACGTACATTGGAATAAATCTGCAGTAACTGGCATTAACATGAATGCTAGAGTGTAAATGCTCATATAGCTCCACATAAACAAGATGTGAATCAGGATCTATAGGGCTGGTCTTTGTTTTGTTTTGTTATATAAAGAGCTTCCTCATTTTACAGCTGCCTTTGGCTTAACCCTAAAACCAGGATCCATGGCCTGAATATCAGTTTAGAAGCCTTCTGTACTCAGGCTTGTCTCAGTTCCAGCCATTTGGTAAAAGCTCTTAGGAAGTTTTGTACTTATGTTGTGCTCCTCTAGAGAAAAAGATTTTCAGAAGGCAAAAAACCAGCATCGACTTCTGATTAAAGCCTGCCTCAGCCTGCTGCTTGAACACTACTGGGTGCATTTTGTATAGTACATTTTGATTGGGAATGTGCTGAATAGTCAAAGGAAACAGAGCTGGCCCCTGAAGCATTCCCTCAGTGTTCTGCCGCAGTCTCTCCTGCCATGAAGAGCATGGCCAAGACCCCTAAGTGCCCTGGTATCTGCAAGCTGCTGGAGAGTTTGGGGGACTGGTAGCAGCCAGCTAGCCTATGCTAGATCAGCCCTCAGGGCTTAAGCGAAACACTTGAGGAAACAGCCAGTTTTATCACCATTAAGTGAAGAGCCATATTTGCAGTCTCTCCTCTTTAGGGTGGGGAGAGAAGTTACACACAAAACAGTTTAAGTGATCAGAACCTGGTTTAGACCTGTAACAGAATAGAAGTTCAGTGCAAAATGGCCCAAACTGGTTTAAGATAAACCTGGTTGGATGTAGTATCAGACTTAACTGATTTAGGTCAAACCAGTTTATGGCACTTCTGTCCCAGATCCCTTCCTTAACTTAACTCATAGTCCTCCAGCATCCCAGGATGCTGTGCAGCCCTGAGGTATGCTCTCTGCTCCAGCAGAGCAGGGAAGCACCACCCCCAGCTGTAAGATCCCAGGCAGCCCAGAGTTCACGCAGAGCCCTGGCCCTGCCACCTCCTCCGCAGGGGAGTTGGCCTGGCTCCCAGCTGGGGTGAAAATAACCCCCCACTGCAGGCTGGGCACAGCCCAACTGGGGGTCTGGAGCTGGGGGTGCATTTCCCCTCC